CTTTACCTTGGAGAGGATGTACTGGCAGGACACAGAGCACTGAACCTACAAGAACTTCACTGCTGTGTCAGGCCACTTAATTTTTGAGGAGTTTATCTCTCACTGTGTGGTGTCTTACCAGACGTGTGTCTTACCAGAGCATTCAGAGTACTTACCACTTCCTGGTCTCCAAAACTTTGGTCAACAATCTCAATATCTATGTCCAAACGTCACGTTCTTTCAGCTCTTAAAGCTCTTTTGGTAAAAATCACCTTTCCTTCTGTGGCGGAGGCATTACTTCTTTTCTCATGACCTACTGAGTGTTTGATCTAGTTATTAATCCCAAGTAGTCTCACCCAAGTGGTGGCTAACTCTGCCTTTTTCCAGTAAATAGAAAAATACTCCCTTTCTAAAAATGAGGTGAACAATACAGATGGGCCACTGAAGCATCAAAACCTGTTGAAAGCATGCCTTAGAGAGGGCTGGGCTAGATAACCAAAGAGTTTCTACATTCCGGAGAGTTCTGATTGTTCATATCTCTAATCTCTCTATGCTTTTCTTTATCCCCACAGCTACCTCCAGCCTCCTCCATCCTCCTTACTCTTTCATTGCATGTCCACATCCCATGGGTGGAGCTCAACAGAGAGTAATTTCTCTGTGACCCAAAGCTTAATGTCCCTGGAGAATGGCTGCATTTCCCTGCAGCAATATAAGAGTATCTTGGCTGGAGGCCCTTCCCAGGCTTCTATAGGATGTGGTACAACAAAGCAGCCTGGGGCAGCAGACACGGTAAGTAGCCAGAACCCAGACTCAAACCCTTCTCTATTTCCAGAGTCAACTCTGTCACCTCCTCCTGTCCTCCTCCAAAAGAAGAGTCAAATAGAAAGAAATTGCAGAAGGCAAAGATAGCAAAGAAATATGGAGACCTGGGTATTAAGTATCCCCAGCTGGCAGTTTCTTATCCTGCATAAGGGAAATAGATCTAGGAGGATCTCTTCCTGCGGCTCATGAATTAAGTAGCTCAGAGGAGGGCTCAGAATCCCAGACTCCCTTTCTAAGAATGATGCCCATATTGGTGACCCAAAGTGGTAATGGCTAAGGGAACCAAAATCCCTTGTGGGCTGGCATTCTAGAAAAATACAGATGTTCATGCTTGGCAACATACAAGCATGATCCAAAGATTTCAACAGTGAATTTTTCATTTACTCATTCATCAAAATAACTGAATTCCTGAGATGTACCATACAGCCTGCTGAGTGAAGGCTTATCAATATAAATCAGAGTTACTCTTCTTGGGAACCTCAAGCTTGAGAGGAGAAAGAAATTAGAAATTACCATGTAAATGACTGAATGATTGAATGGGGTGTTTAAGAGACATGAATGAACAAACAGAAGAAAAGAAAAAAATGTCTGGGGGGTGTGGGGGGTGGTTGGTGTAGCTAAAAGAAAAATTAGGAGCAAGAAAACCTGAAGAAAAGGAGATTTAGAGGGAAAAAAACAAGTAAAGTGAAGAGATGTGAAAGTAAAAAAAACCTCTCTTTTAGGAACACTGAATCTTGCAGTCATAGAATGCCAGAGTTGAAAGACAGATAATCTAGTCCAATTCCCTGATTTTACAGAAGAGGAAATTGACAACCATGAGGAGAAATTGACATATTTTTAGTAGCTTGGCACCAGGTACAATCTGTGACAAAGTGTGCAGCTTACTTGAAAAAACAAGGTATTTGGTGTCAAATAGAACCTAGATTAAATCATTCTACCATGTCTCCTGGCTAAACACTTGGCTTCTCTAAGCCTCAGTGTCTTCATCTGTATACATGAAGAGAATTAGTTCTATCTTATACTGTTGTTTCAGAGCTGAGGGAATTCCTTGTTCATCAAAACGACTAATTCCCGGGGTCAGCCCCATGGCCAAGTGGTTAAGTTTGCGCGTTCCACTTTGGTGGCCCAGGGTTTCACCGGTTCGGATCCTGGGTGCAGACATGGCACCATTCATCAAGCCATGCTGAGGCAGCGTCCCAAATGACACAACTAGAGGGATCCACAACTAAAAATACACAACAATATACAGGGGGGCTTTGGGGAGAAAAAGGAAAAATCAAAAAACTCTTTACTAATTCCCAATATGTGCCATATACAACCAGCAAAAGGCAATGACTTAGTGGCATAGCTAGATCCAGAAAACTTTTCTCTAATTCTCTACCTTAAAATAAGTTGCAATGCATTGTATCTGCTTCATGCTGTGTATTAGTGTTATACTAGCAATTACAAAGCATGGAGAGAGTACCCAAGGGTCTCTACAGCTACAGTGGTTTCAGAGATTCTAGTTCTAGAGCCTTGAAGGGATGGACACCCAAGTGACAGTACAGAGCTCCACCTGAATTCACTGATGGATGGGCCTAGAAAATGATGATAAAATTCAATGGAGGGGCCGGCGCCATAGCCAAGTGGTTAAGTTAACAGGCTCCACTTTGGCAGCCCCAGGTTTCACTGGTTCAGATCCTGGGAGCGGACATGGCACCACTCATCAGGGCATGCTAAGGTGGCGTCCCACACAGCACAGCCAGAAGGGCCTACAACTAGAATATACAACTATGTATTGGGGGGCTTTGGGGAGAAGAAGAAGAAGGGAAAAAAAAGAAGATTGGCAACAGATGTTAGCTCAGGTGCCAATCTTTTAAAAAGAAAATTCAATGGAGAAGGATGTGCCAATTTCAATGTGGTGCCTTAGGAAAATTGAGCTGATTGAAACAGTTTGAGAAGTCTATCAGGGCAGGGAGGTGACAGTGTACGTTGAGGGGAATGATGCCAGCCAAGCAGCTGCCCTAAGAATCTATAAGAGAAATAATGAGATGGTGAGCCATTGAATTATGCGAACAATGGGAAGGAGAGCATAGATGAAAGCATATTAGGCAGGTAGAATGAGCCGAGGAGAAGACACCCATCAGCTTCACTGCTATGCAGATCATCCGACAACGAGGCTATAAGTACACCTGTGTCTGCAGGAGTCCCCATCAACTTCTAAAACAGGGAGTGGATACACCCAAACACTCAGGATTCATTGTTGACAGGTTCAGAATCGATTTTTCAGAAATTTAACCATGCCCTTCACTAGAAATTTCTTCTATGCCCAGTCATCCATAAATCAAACATGTTTCCAATTCTCTAATGCATGGTTGACCGGGACAGGGTCTCAACCACGCTCCACTTCAAAATCAGCTACTGATCCTAGTATGTATCTGGAGGATAGGGGAATAGAACTTTTCTTTGACTTCCTTCTCTTTCATGAGATTATAGGGTTGATTATTCATTCTGTCATTTATTTATTCAAACAAGCAAATATTGACTGAGAAGCTACTCTGTTCTGGGCTCTGCACTATGCAAGAGCTATATGTCAGCAAATAAAAGCACATGGCTGCTGTATTCATGGATCTTACAGTGTAGTGAGAGAGGACAACAAATTTCAAGGAAAGAAGCAATCCTAAAATTTTAAAATGTGTTGAGTGGTGTAATGAAAACTAAGAATGTGTGATGTGAGGATAACGGAGAGGGTATGTGGCTCAGGGCACCTACTTAGTGAGAGTCATCTCTAATGTTTCTCTGAGAAAATGATATTTAAGATCTAAAAAGCTAGCCATGTGAAAAGCAAAGGGGGGAGTACAGGATGAACACAAAAGCCCCAAGTGAAGAAGAAACTTGCTTATTTAAGAAATTGAAATAAAGTCAGTGGGCTAAAGAATGTTGAGCAAGAGGTTGTCCATTATGTGATAAGAGTGGACAGTTAGGTGATAGACTATAGGGATCAGTAGGCCATGTCATAAACATTTTACCAGAAAGCATTGGGGAATGATTGAAGGGTTTTCAGCAGGGAAGTAATATAAACAGGTCACTTCCTTGAACCTCAGTTACATTATCCTAAAAGTAGGAACAGTAATCCTTTCAGGGTCCACATCACAGGATAACTGTGAAGATTAAATGAATAACACATAGTAAAAGATTTAGAGAAATGCAAAGTGTTAGACAATACAATAACAATAACAAAAATCATGTCTGTGGTGCTTTGCACTTTTGACAATGTTTCACCTACTTTGTCTCAACTACGGAAGAGATCACAGGAAAGAGTCTGGGATTTGGAATCAGACAGACCTGGATTCAATGTTCAGGTCTATAGTATATGAGCCATTCATTCAGATATCCGTCACTACAGTTCTTGAGTCTCAGTTTCCTCATCTGTAAAACGGGAGGAGAAAGATGGCCTTGTCCAAAGTCTCTGCTGATTCTGAGTATGGAGAAATTCAGTCAAAAATGCTTAAGCACGAATCAAGAAATTTATTATACACCAAAAGTGTTTCACACAAAAGCCAAAACAAGAAAAATGTGACTTTAGGAAGACGAGTTTCAAGAAGTGCAAAGCCATCTCCCTGGGTGGTGAGGGAAGCAGCTGCTCACTCTCTCAGACTGTCTCTCACTGGACTGCAGGAACTCTCATCCTTCTCCTCTCTGCGTATCTGATTCAATTACTCTTATCTCTCTCCAAATAGTCATTTTCCTTTTCTCCCTATGCACACGGAAATAACATATTTTCAATTTGGGCAATAAGTAGACAATGGCTAGATCCTCTGAACCCCGGTTACTATTTCCTGGCAGAGAAATCTCATTCTATCAGCTCAGACTGGGTGTAACTATAGAGATGATGAACTTTTGCAGGATAGATAACGCTCTGTAGAAGTGAGATGACACTTAGGGCCCAATCCTGTGGTTGAAAGGCACCAGGGCTTAAAAAATACTTTTATAATGCATAGAACCTGGAATATAACATAATAAGGAGTCATCGAATATTTCAATTGTTATAGTTATTATGTTTTAAAGGAATCAGTAAATGGTATGACCAGTTATGGAACTTGATTTTTAGACTTTGGATTCAAGAGTAGATTGCTCTTTCTTATCATCCTGGTTAGTTTTAGTGTCTACAAAGACTGAAGAAGTCACATCTTTCTGAAGACCTCATCTGTCCTCCAAGGATGCTCCCTTCCCAGTCCTATGTCAACATTTCCTTCTTCCAGCCACCTGCTTTCCTGATGATTGGTATCCCAGGGCTGGAGGCCATTCATGGCTGGATCTCCATCCCCTTCTCTGCCATGTACACTGCGGCCCTCACTGGAAACTGCTTGATCCTCTTGGCTGTGAGGAGGACTCCCAGCCTGCACCAGCCCATGTACTACTTTCTGTCCATGCTGGCCCTCACCGATGTGGGTCTCACCTTGTCCACACTGCCCACCACCCTGGCTGTGCTCTGGTTTGACTATAGGCTCATCGGCTTCAATGCCTGCCTGGTCCAGATGTTCTTCCTCCACTCCTTCTCTGTGATGGAGTCCTCGGTGCTCCTGGCCATGTCATTTGACCGCTTTGTGGCCATCTCCAACCCCCTGCGCTATGCAGCTATCCTCACAAACAATGTCATTTTTAGGATTGGGCTGGCCATTGTGGCCCGTGCTACCTTGTGCCTCTTCCCTGTGCCATTTTTGATTAAGCGACTAAACTTCTGCCCTGGCAATAACTTCTTGTCCCACTCATTCTGTTTCCACGCTGATGTGATGAGAAAAGCGTGTGCTGACATAATCATCAATATACACTATGGGCTCTATGTGGTTGTGTCCACTGGAGGTATAGACTCTCTGCTCATTGTCTTGTCCTACACTCTCATCCTGTACATAGTCATGGGGCTGGCTTCTCCCCGGGAGTGCACCCGGGCCCTCAATACCTGTGTCTCCCACATCCTAGCTGTCTTTGTCTTCTTTATTCCAGGTATCACTATGTCCATGATCCATCGTTTTGGCAGGCACCTGCCTCACATTGTACGTGCTCTTGTTGCCTACGTGTACCTAATGGTGCCACCTGTGCTCAACCCCATCATCTACAGTGTCAAATCCAAGCCCATCAGGGAGGCCATGCTCAGGATACTGAGGGTGAAAGGCCAAGGATGAAACTATGAAATATAACATAGTCTGGGTACCATAAAAGAGACTTGCTGTAGCCTTGCTGGAACCTGCTACCCTCAGCAGGCACTGAAAATTCCCAGTCTATGCTAATACAGCGGGAAGACCACCAGGCTTATTCATGTTTCAAATTTATGTTCATCATTTAACTTTGTACTAGAAGCAATGCCAAGGATTAAAGATTGAGAAATATAGTAAACATGGTTCTTTCTCTCCAGAAACTCACAATTTTATGCCACAATAAAGGCATGTAAGGAGTACACAATCAGAATATAGACTTATAAGTATCATAATAAAGTTCTGTGCAAGAGATTACTGAGGACTGAAAATTGTTACTTGCCAGAACTTGCCCAAGAAGATCAGAGAAACCTCTACAAATGAGAGAATGCTTTTCATTTCATCTTGAAAATTGTGTAGGGTTTTTCTAGGCAAAGCAGGAATTGAGTAAGAAAGAGAAAAATCTAGGGAAAAAAAGAGCAACATGAAAAAAGGCTCCAGGTTTTGAAGAAGTAAATGTGTTTGTGGAAAGAAGAGTATCCCTGCCCTTCCTTGTGTCTCTCCCACTTGTTACATCTTTACAGATGTGACTGTGGCATAGAGTTTGAAGAGGGAGTGGTAGGGGATGAAGCCAGAAAGGTAGGTAGCCAAATTGGGCAGGGTTACACATACCATACTATGTAGTTTGGTTTCAATGTAATATATACAAATAACTTATTAAATATTTTTTACTTTAAAATAAGTTAGGATTATGAATTGGAGATTAGTAGCATGTTGGCAAGACTGGACATTTGGGCAAAACTGGAGCCAAAAAGTTTAAGCCAAAATTTAAGCCGTTATCTGGTCTCAGGCTCTTCCCACACACCATTTACTCTGTCTGCAACATTCTCATCTTCTACCTGCCTATATCTCATTTCTAGCTACCTTTCTCATTTGTCAAGAATAAGCCTAATTTCTCAGGAAATCCTATCTAATTAATTCTCTTTTCCACATTATTTACTGACAGTGTTTGTCTCCCGCACATATTCAAATGTCTGTCAATATGCCAAAATATGCTTAGTGTCTAGTGGTGTTGGTGGAATAATGGCTACTCGACAATTCTTTTAAATATATACATGAATTAAATGGGGAAAAGGGCAACGGATTAATTAATTTAAGAGAGAATTTGGAGATGTTTGCCTCCAGGTAGCTTCTGGCCCTTCAGAGGAAAGAATGCTTATAAATAATTGTAAAAAGGTTTCCAGTTGAACTTGAATAGCTGACCTGGAGGTATGAGAGGTGCAAAGCAGCTGATTGACTGAATTAAGCCCTCTCACCTAGTGAAGGTTTCCTACTTTTCCACCCTAGGGGGTCTCCCAGGCCCTTTCCCCAGAATTGATGCCCTTCACACCTCAGTGAAATACTGGCTCCATAAAGAGTTTTTGTGGGGAAAAAAATTACAATACTAAAATTTATTAATATATTTCTGCTTGAGTGTACCTTCTTACAAAGTCAAACTGCAAGGGCATGTGTGTCTTTCTTCTTACCTCCTCTATAACCATTCCTCCTAAAAGTGTGAGATTCAATATTACACGATCTGAGAAGAAACACACGCATCCATTTATCAGTTCACATTCTGAGGGTCTTTTTGGATGGGCCTGGCTGGGTTATTTACTGAGGGTCTCATAAGACCAAAACTAAAGTGTCAGTCACCTGGGTTCTTATCTGGAAGCCCTGGGGAAGACTTTGTTTCCAAGTTTACTTGGATTGTTAGCAGAATCCAGTTCCTCGAGGTTTTGCACCTGGGATCGCCTTTTCCTTGCTGTCTGTTGGCCTCCCTCAGCTCTTAGGGATGCCCACATTCCTTCTCACGCGGCCCCCTTCATCGTCAAACTGGAGACAGTGTATCGCATCCTTCTCATGCTTTAAATATTTCTAACTTCTGTCGCCGTCTGCAGAAATGTCTCTTTTTTAAGGGCTCATGTGATTAGATCAAGCCCATCTGGATATGAACTCCCTATCTTAAGATCAACTTTGCCATGTAACAACACAGTCACAGGAGTGATATTTCACCATATTCAAAGGTTTTGGGAACTAGGACAGGACATTTTTGTGGGACCTTTTAGAATTCTGCCTACTACGGTGACAGAGTAAATGGATTAATTAACGGATGATTCTATGAAAGTACACAATAAGGGTATCTGATCTATTCCAAGGGATCAGGAATGATTTTTCTTGAGAAGTTATAATTAAGGTGATGTCTGAATGTTGACGAAAAATTAGCTAGGAAAAAGGAAAAGTGAGTATTTAGGGGAAGGTATATTAGGTTGTAGAAGAGGAAGCATGGCGCAGTAAAGGGACAGAATGAAAGGCAGTGCAACTAGAAGTCAAAACGCACAGATCTTGTGGTTCAAGATAAGCCTGATAACATAAATGAGGACCAAAGAGAAATATGGGAAATAATTAGCATCTTAAGCAGAGATGAGGGTGGTTTTGACGTGATCATATTTATTTTAGAAAGATAATTTTATATTGTGTTGTAGAGAACAGATTGAATTAAAGCCATAATGCATGCAAATTTATCATTTAGAAGGCCAATGAAATAGTCAAGATGAGATTTAGTGAAAACTTGGACTAGGAGCCTGGAGACACAGAGGGAGAGAAACAGATGGTTCAAATTTATGTAGGAAGTAGAAATTATATAACTTGGTTTTGGATTGCACAGAAAGGCTAAGAAAAGAAAAGAGAAGGGCCAAGGGTGACTGGTAGGTGTGGGGCTTGCACTTAAGGATAAATGGTGGTGTGAGTAACTGAAATATGAAACATGAACAGAGGAACATAGCAGGGTAGAGAATATCATGAGTTTGATTATGGCCACTTTGAGTCCAAACTCCCTTGGAAGTATCCAAATGGCTAGATTACACAGTCCATTAGACTTATAGGCTTAGAGCTCTAGACTAGCTGAAAGGTCTAGTCTAGAGATAAAATTGAAGTCATGATATGCAGATGGGAATAGAAACCATCAACCCAAGTGTGGTTACATAACAATTAAAAGCCTGATTCTAGGCCCTCTAATACGATGTTCTCTCATCAGACAGGGCAGAATGTATGTGCAAAGGAAACTGAGAGAAGTATCGAGTGAGATAAGAGGAAATTCAAGAGTGTGATGCCATGGAGGCCAAAGGAAGAAAATGTAGCAACAAAGAGGGAGTGGCCAACTGTGTTGAATGTTACTGAGAAGTCAGGGAAGATAAAGGCTGAAAGCCTCAGGCACACAGAGATCCTTGATGATGATAGTGAAAGCTCTTTTGGTAGTTTGACCAAGGCCAAAATTATTTCGGAGCAGTGGAAGAGTTAGGTGAGAGATGTATAAGTGGAGATAAGTTATAGATAACTTCTCTAAGAGATTTGCCTAGAAAGGGAAGAAATAAAAGAGGAAAATAGGATCTAGGCAGGTTTGGACAAATGGTTGTCATTGTGTTTTTAATGGAAGAGACTTGAACATAATAAATGCTAGGAGTGCTTGAGATGGTGAGTTTAGATATTCAAGAGGGAGACGGAACAATAATGTAAAGGAAAGGTGAGAGGATATTGACCCAAAGCAAATTAATAAAAATGTATATGAGATCCAGCCTGCTGTAATCTTGGTTAATAAAGACTTTGTAATAATCATGCTAACATAAGGAAATATATCTTCCTTTGATAAACTAATACCTCCAATATTTTCTCTGGAAGAATAAAGAGCAGTCTTACCTGAGCACCTCACTGTCTAGGTTTTATTTCTTTTAGTTTTTAATCTATTTATTCAACAATTAGTTTTTAATCTATTTATTCAACAACTATTTATTTACTGTTATTTACAAGGCTAGATTACTTTAAGAACAACAAAAACATGTTCAGAGGTTTGATACATTAGTAGTTTATTTTTCATTTATTTAACTGTCTGATACAAATATGGGTTGGTGGAAGGTTGCAAGCAGGAGGAGTTTGACAGTAGACAATTTTTTAGGAACCCAGGCTGCTGGTGGTTTACCATATACAATACATGATTTCCCATATCACAGTTGATGTACATAGGAGGGTTTTTTAAGCGAGGCACAGAAGTGGCATGTGTCACTTCCTCTCATATTGGAAGTAATGGCTAAAATTTAATCATACCCAACTCAAACGAGGCTAGGAAATGCCTAGCTGTGTGTCCACCATGGGAAAGAATTAGGTTTGGTGAACAGTAGTCAATGTCTCTCGTAAGTACCTACTATGCCCTAGGCACCTTGCTAAAGGCTAAGGATTCAATGATGAACAGATTCAAAGAAACAGTGCCCTCATGTGCTTATATACAGCCCAGCAGCAAATACAGATATTAAATAAGCATTTCCAATCACAGTGAGTTTTACAAGAGGAGAAGAAAGTGTGTTGTCGGAATACATATCAGAGAACCTGAGGATTGAAAAAGGAAATGAATCTCAATCACATTTAAGATCATGTTTCAATGTTTGTTACTTGACTTTCTTGGACAAGACTGTTTTCATAACACACTGAAGACAAAACCTGTTAACCCTTGGAAATAGCCCCCTCAGAAACAGAGCTGAGTAATTCCCATGCTTCCAAAGCCAGATTGTCTTCTTGTTCCATATCACACAAGACCCCAGTGAAGCCTAATTGTGAAAGATTCTCTCATTTACTAGCTACCAGTCACCTTCAAATGACCAATGTTTTCTACGCTTGCCATCCCACAGTTTCCATCTTAACCAGTAGCTGCCAAAACTTGCTATCTTCCAGAATCACCAATGGAGACTTTTTAAATTTATAGTTTGCTGAGCCCTATGCCAGATCTCCTGAATCAGAATCTCTAATAACAGGGGACCTGGAAATCTGCACTTGCAAAAGGTTCTCCAAGTGGGCCTCACATGCACTCAGTGAGCACTTGTCCTTAAATCAGCAGCATTTAAGAAGCATTAACCCAAACATATGTTGTTCCATAAAACAATTGTCAGTAAACTTTAAAAGATTCAAATCGTGTAAAGTATGTTCTCTGATCACATGGATACTAAATTAGAAAGCGATAGCATAAAGATCTGTGGAAAACTCCTCAAACATTTGGAAACTAAATAATACCGTTCTAAATAAACTACAGGTCAAAGAAGAAATGAAAAGGGAAATTACTAATTATTTTGAACTCAATGAAAATAAAACATCAAAAATTTGTGGGATGCAAGTCAAGCAGTACTGAGAGGGAAATGTATAGCACTACAGCATCTATATAAGAAAAAAAGACCCCAATAACCTCAGTTTCCATCTTAATAACCTAGAAAAAGAGGAGGAAATTAAAGCCAAGATAAGCAGAAGAAAGAAAATAATAAAGAGAGGAAATCAACAAAATAGACAAAAGAAAAAAAATAGAGAAAATTAATGAAAACAAAATCTGTTTCATTGAGAAAAGTAATAAGATTGATAAGCCTCTAGCCAGATGGAACAGGAGAAGAAAAAAAAAGAGAGAAGACAAATTATCAATAGCAGGAATGAGAGAGGTGACCTCACGACAGATGCTACAGATATTAAAAAATGACAAAGGAATATTATTAACACTTATATGCCAGTAAATTTGACAACTTACATAGGATGAAAAGTTTCCTGAAAGACATAAAACCTTCTCTGTCTGGATCAAGAAAGGGTGATACATCTTTCACTCCTTAGAGTCTTTCTTCTCATCACCTACTTTTTCTAAAGACAATTTCCCTGGGTGATTTTCACTAGAAGCAATTTCTATCTTCCAAATTCCACACTCCCTATCTTTGGAAATGTGGCTTTCCTCCAGTGATATACCTATATTTCAACACAGAACGATGATCTACAAGAACAGCTTAAAAATAAATGTAGGGAAGAGATTGCCTGTCAATCATGATGATGAAAAACATGAAAAGGAAGAATAAGGAGGAGGTGGAGGAAATGGGTTTGGAAGAAACTCATTGCTCTGGAATATTCTGGGAAGGAGATCCTGGAATAACAGCTCTACCTCCTATACAATTTACCCTGGAATGTGTGTTCTACAGTGGACTTTCTCACATCCACCCCAACTCTGTTCTACAACTTCAGTGGCAGAAATAAAGACAGGATGCTTTGGGGTCAGGAACAAAGCTCACACAGTTATTGCTGAAAGAATATGTGGTAACTGAAAGTTCGCTCAGATCAGTTTCTCTGTCCTATTCTTCTCTGTATCCCTAGGTCCCCTACATAGTATCTTTATTATATTTTTTCCAGAATTGTTTGTTGAGTAAGTGAATAAATAAATGTGTTGATCAGGTGATGCTGGCTAGGGACACAGTGTCACCTGCTTCAGCACTGACTCTTCTTGTAACCTCTCTCAGGAATGTCCATTTCTCCAAGAGACTCTCTTGCCTGGCAGTTTCCATGGTGAAGTCTGACATTGACAATTGCATCCTCTTCTATGTGCCCATTTTAGATCTCCTCCAGATTCTCCATACCCTCATTCCTCAACTTTCTTAGAATTAAAAGCCCTGCATCCCTGTTGGCTTCCTTAGGAGTAGAAAAGGCAGACTGCAATCTGATTCTGCATCAGCTTCATTCTCTTTAGAACAAATCTGACATAAAAAGTTATGAGATGCCAGTGCAATGGACAAGAAGAAGTTTGAGAACACCTTTTTTAAGAGATAAACAGAGGCCAGCCCCATGGCTGAGTGGTTAAGTTCACACGCTCTGCTTCGGCAGCCTGGGATTCACTAGTTCCAATCGTGGGTATGGACCTACACACTGCTCATCAGGCCATGCTGCAGTGGCATCCCACATAGAAGGACTAGAATAACCTAGAACTAGGGTATACAACTAGGTGCTGGGGCTTTGGGGAGGCAGACAAAGGAAGATTAACAACAGATGTTAGCTCAGAGCCAATCTTCCTCGCCAAAAAGCATAACTTGAAAAAACGAGAGACATAAACAATGAACATCAACTCTGACGTCCTAAACCAGTGGCATGATATGGCCTTTTCCCAAATTCAGGTCTGCCTATCTCAAGAAGGCCAGACATAGAGCAAGGGGATGACCCTCCACAAGTATGTCCATTACATCCAAGAGAGTCTTATCTCAACTCAATTAAAGGAGTGATATAAGATACTTCATTAACTTGAATAGATATGACTCAGCAGTCTCACTTAAACTTTTCTGAACTGAAAGTGGTCCAGTTCTAAAGTATGTGCCAAGAGGTAGGGGAACACTGAAGAGAGAATATTTCTTTTTTGCCTGATGAATCATAAAGAGCCTCATTTTATAAGGTGTTACTAAAAAGAAAAATGGCAAAAGGCAATTCATACAAAGAAAACAAAGTGGAACAGAGGCTTTAAAAGTGCATGAAATCATTGAGAGACAGCAAGTATTTGTAATTAGCTAAAGAACATAGTATGTGGAAAAATTAGAGATATTACATTGAAAAAAAAGATGAGAACAGGTGTAAAAGGGAAAAAAAGGAGCTTACTGATGTTCTAGCAAGTTCGAACTCTATACAGGAGGCAATAAAAGACCTTTGATGCGTCTTAAGCAGGGAAGTTAGAGATAATCAGAGTTTTGTTTGGAAAAACTCCTGCAAGCTACATGGGATTTAGGACTAGTACCAAAGATGCTGGGCAAGGAGACCAGTGTGGAGGTTATGGCAATTGTCCGAGCAAGGGGTAAGTATCTGGACTAGAGCATTGGTCATCAGAATGGAAGACACAAGACATGTTTATGAAACATTTCTAGATAAAACCTAAAAAATAAGCAAGGGACTTATAGACTGAGATTTAATTTTATTCAGACTTCTCCAGGACCCAATAAACGTCCAGGAGGCTAAGATGGTAGGGCCAGAGACAGGAATATCCAAACAAAGGAAACGGGGAAGGTAAAATGATGCCCATGTAAAAGGCATATAATGAAGGTCTTTGTCCAGAACATACCCTAACTTCCAGCCAAATCTCCTAAAAGAGGCAGCTTCTGGGGCCGGCCTGGTGGCACAGTAGTTAAGTTCACATCCTCTGCTTCAGTGGCCCAGAGTTCATGGGTTCAGATCCCGGGTGCGGACACACACACCACTCATCAAGCCATCCTCTGGCAGCGTCCCACATACACAATAGAGGAAGATAGGCACAGATGTTAGCTCAGGGCCAGTCTTCCTCACACACACACACACACAAAAAACATAGGCAGCCTCTCCGTCTCATTCTGGTCCTTAGCTCCCGGCCCTTCCAGGGAACCAGTGAGTATTCATGAAGTAAGTGACCAGAAATCTGATCTAGAAGTTAGGAGATTCCTACTGTAGTTCTGTCTCTGTATCTGGCATTTAGTACTCACTGAGAAACATAAAGAAGGTAGTGGTAGGGGTAGTGGTGGTGGTGGTGTGTGTATGTATATGTGTGTTTACACTCATAAAACGGCTAAGTCATTTAGAATCAAAACCATGAAACTTTATCCCGAGCATATACAGACTTGGAATCCCTTCTAAAATCTAGAATAATGACTGCATCGTTAGAAGAAATTTAAAATGTGTCTGTTTGATTTATCTGTTTATTCTCCATCTACGTCTCCAAAAGGATTCCAAACATAAAACAGATACACACATTCATTATATGCCCATACAGAAGCATGCACACAAAGGCTTATTAAAAATCTGGAAAAATAAACACCAAAATGCTAACAACGTTTTTTTCCTTTTAAGGTGACAAGTTTATTGGATTTTTTATTATATTTTTATTTCTTTTATATTTTCAGAGTGTCTAATATTTTTGTTTATGGTGACCACACATTGCTTTCCTAATGAGAAAAAAGATCTGCCTCTTTCTTTCTCTTTCATTCTTTCTCTTTCTCTTAATCCCGATATCAGGGCATTCCTGGGCAATGAGCTGACCCTCCACTCAGCCCAAAATGATCAACGTCTGCATTGACTCTAGCTTATGCACCTAGTTCTTTTGGCTACCACTCACCAGGGCATATCAGATTCCATGCTGCTCACAATTCTCATCTTCTGGATTCCAGTCCAAGAAATCAGCTATGCTCTCTCCATGCCCTCACTACCAAGTAGTCCTGTGCTACTAAGCCATGGCCAGAAAATTCTGGATAGCCTGTGCCATGCTCTCACACCTGCTTCTCACACTCACCTACCTTTTTTTTAGGTAGCACTCCCCCTGTAGGTAGTGGTCTCATCTCTGCCTGTGGTCTTGTTCTCAGGGCACTGATGCTGTGGGCTTCCCCAGTAGAACAGCTCAAAGCCCTGGGGATATATGATGTCCCTTTATACGTTCTTCTCAGTTTCTGTGGACCCATGCTTGCCTTGGCCTTGCTTCCTGACTAGCCACCTGGGCCACCAGCCTTGCTCAGTCTCATGATGCCTCCTGCTCTTGACTCCCTGGTCTGTGGTAGACTTGCCATTTCTGCCATGAGCTTCTAGGTATTCTCAGCTGCATCTCTCCATAAAGTGTCTCTCCAGATATCCAGTGAATGTCCCCACTGAAATAGCTAATCATGCTATTTCCCAAACTAGCCACTGTTTGGGAATTACTCAAACATATTCCTGCTTCTACTACACAAGTACAATGGCAAATGGACCAGTAACTTCTGGGATTAAAGCCATCAACAACATTAACAGGAAATTTCTAAATACAATACTGGATGGGTGAGAAAGGAAATTAAATATCTCCATTAGAAAATGCAAGACTCTGGAAATGTCTAACTCACTGCCCCACTGGACTCTCTAACACTCCCTCTCCACAATGTGGGATTGGGCATCAAAGACTTAAATTTTTTCGTGACCTCATGTAATTCACTGATCCCCATTGAACATCAATTTCCCCATTGGTACAATGGGAGTACTAATCATATTCCTCAAAAGATTGATAAGAAAATTAAATAAGGAAAAGTATAAATGGGTTGTGAAAACTCTCGGAACAGAACATGTCATCTTTAATTAATGTAAATAACTGTGGTCTTTTCACGGTTTTACTTCCAATACTCTTCTTAAGGGCTGGTGCCGAGAAGAAAAGAAATTATTTATTCTCTGTGGAGGTCATCTTGAAGAAGGAAATCCAGGTATGTCTCTTTTTCTGAGATCCAACATGGTAGGGGATTCTGAAGAGGAAATTATAGTTTTAAATCAGATTATCTGATGGTATTGTATTCTTATGTCATTTACTTTTGCCATGTTTAAGTCTTTGGTAAACATTCTTTAGACATACAACACTTATCTCAGAATGCTGTGGACTTTCAGTGCAAGCAATTTAGAGATTTGGACTGAATGGTTAAATGGGGACTAATAACCCTCCAACCACAATCACCTTGGGGTCCTAATAATTATATACAGAGAAGAACTAAAAGGAAAAATGATAGTGAAAAATGGGGATTGGGAGGATATGGTTCTGCTGCCCCTATCCACATGGAGATTCTCCAACCAGTTTCATCTTCGAAAGATCCATTGTGTTTTTATTATGGAAGATTTTTTTCCTAATACTTTCTTCCAAAATCTTGATATTAATATCTGAATTGAAGGACTTTGAATGAAAAAGAAGTTTGATCACTGACCCCTAGGGATCTGAAGTGTGGGTGGTCACATGGAAAAGACGTATGATGCGCTGCCGGATCTCCTTTGTCTTCACTCCATAGACGATAGGGTTGAGCACAGGAGGAACAAGCAGGTAGGTGTTGGCCATGATGATAGGTAGGAGGGAGTCATGTGGCTTGCCAAAACGGTGCACAATAGACAATCCAATGAATGGTACATAGAATATGAAAACAGCACACACATGAGAGACACAAGTGCCAAATGCCTTTGCCTGGGCTTCACGTGTCAAACCCAACACAGTCTTGAGGATAAGAAGATATGACAAGGAGATGAGAAGTGAGTCCAAGCCAATGGCAGAGATGATGACAATGAGGCCATAGATGATATTGACACGGATGTCAGCACAAGCCAGCTTCATGACATCTTGGTGTAGGCAGTAGGAATGGGAAAGGATATTGGAATGGCAGAAAGGCAGCTGTTTGATGAAGACAGGCAGGGGTGCCATAAGTGCAGCACCCCGTACTACAGCAGCCATGCCAATCTTGGTAACACGAGGCAATGTTAGCACAGTGGCATGGCGTAGAGGGTGGCAGATGGCCACATAGCGGTCAAAGGCCATGGCCAGCAGTACCGTGGACTCCATGCCAGATAAGGAGTGGATGGCAAACATCTGTAGCAGACAAGCATCAAACTGGATGGTAGTGGAATTGAACCAGAAGATGGCCATCATTTTGGGCATGGATGAGGTGGAGATGAGGATGTCAAGGCCAGAAAGCATGCAAAGAAAGATGTACATGGGTTCATGTAGGCTGTGCTCAGTCCGCACAACGTAGATGATCATCAAGTTACCTAGAACAGCAATAACGTAGAGGGAGAACAATGGGAAGGCCAACCAGAACTGAGCTTCTTCCAAGCCTGGGAGGCCTATTAGAATGAAATATGTAGCACTGGATTCATTGCCACTGGGGACCACCATAGTGAGGAAGCTGAGCTGTGACCAGTGCCAGGCAGGTAGAGGCTGGAATGCAAAGATAAGCCATTGTCAGATTCTCCAGAATCACAATAGCACACTTCCTTCCCTCCATGCTGATGTCATATTCTCTGACCCAAACTCTAACTTAATTGTCTATTCGAACTCTGACTCTATTCTAATATCAATCTAACTGTCCTTCATAACTCAAGGCCCAGGTGAAAATTCACCCAGCCCTACTGACTAACCCCACTCTAAAGTCAATCCTGAAGACAAGTAAAATACTAAGGCAAAATTCTAAGCAAATTTTAACTCATTTAGTTCACCAAAGATATACTATTGATTGAGCACATATCAGGCTTAGATGATAAAAAAATCCCATCACTTCTTCTGTCCTATCCTACCGTTATGCTCCCTATGCTTAATACCAACTGTAATTCTAATTATATCATTAGACTATCTTTAAGACTAATTCCAGTCCAAATGCAGCAATACTAATGGCAACATAGATTAACATTGAAACCTAACCTTATCACTAATCCTAATGATGTCTTCAATTCTAGCCTTAACCCTAACTTTAATATTAACCTAACACCTAATTCTAGTAGTCATTTCAAACTTAATCTAAAACTTAATAGCACATATTTTATTATGACAAACTCTATTTCAATTTTTTGAAAACCTGACACACTAACTTCATCCTGAACTCTAACTCTACATTTCACTCTTTCCCAAATGTCCATTCAAAGTCTTACACTTGTCCAGACTACCCAGTTTATATCATAAAACAAACAATGGCTGCAGTGGATGCCATTGGTGTCCCACCTAGGTCCCCTTCACCAAGCCAGCGCACCTATATCCTAGGGGGTGTTGAATGCTAACAGCTCACAGTTCTTCCCTTCTCCAGAAAATTGTTCATGATCAAATGAGAGGCACCACACCTAGGAAGTTACGCTATCCCCCTCAGGGCTCATATAGTGTTCAATGACTGCCTGGCATAAAGGTACAAAAGGTTAGCCTGCTTGCCTCCAGGTAGGACCAAAGCTGTGATGCAACATGTGCTTCAGAACTTCCTGAGGAACCAGACCTTCCTGAGACCACAGCCTTACTTAGCTTTCTTTCCCGGCTCTATCCCGCTTCCCTCACTCCTCTTCTCATGGCAGTACTCCCTCAATATATCATTTAAAACAGAATCTCCATCTCAAGCTCTGTTTCTAGGCGACCTACCAGACTTAAGAGAGTGGGACTAACACAGAAGACTAAATCTGAGAGATGATGACATTAGAAGCACTGGAGTAATAATCAATACCATAGCAGGGTTCTAGTCTCCTCAAGTCTGGCTTCTAAAGTGGTAGATATAAGCAGAGGTTGCTGAAGTGGGAAATGTCAGATGAGTTTTCTCAGATCTTATCTCTCTGTCAAAACAATTAAAGAGCTAACTAACTTCCTTCCTCTCTTTCTTTCTTCCATCCACAAATATTTTTGGTCCTACTATTTACTCAATTATGTAAATTGTATAGATTTACACCCATTTTATATATATATATGTTCAACTATAATTTGGGAGCTAGCTATCTCCTCTTTCCAATATAGAAATCGTGCCATTTATTGCTAAGGTATATTTAAGATAATTTTATCTTGGGAAGAAAAAGGAAAAGCTAGATTCTTAAGATCTGGCCCTTGACACCTGGGGTAGGGGCTTTCTGCATGGGTTACCAGAGGGCAGTTGAGTGTGAAGAAGAGCTCATGGCCATCATCAGGAGGGACTTATACACCATTCACTGGGCTCAAGATGTGTCAATAATCTTCTTTCCACTACTAAGCTGTTACCCAGAGGTTCCCTCAGACCAGACACTAAGAGCAAAACAGTGGGAGTATGAGTTTTAGAACAGAGAGTAACAATTTAATTCAAACTACTGAAGGGAGAAGGTTATTAACCTAGAACTTCAGGCAAAGAGGTCAACCTCATCAATGCCCCCTAAATCTTCCACACTGACCTCTCTGTAGTCTGTGACACTGTGAGCAGTTCCCTCCTTCTTAAAACTTCTCCCTCCTCCTTCTGCTGTTCCTCATCTCTCTCTGATCACTAATTCTTGGTCTCCCTTCTGGATCTTCAGCCTTCTCTGCTTGACTCTTAATCATATTCTTAAATGATAATGCTCTCAGAATTTTATCCTCAGTGTTCTTCTTGTTCTATACTTTCTCCCCGGGGCCATCTCATCCCCTTCAGTAAATCCATTTGTTATGTATAAACTATTTATTCCAAAATCTGTTTATCAAGCCCTGAGTTATCTTACGTGATCCAGATTCCTAATTCTAAATTCTTACTAAAAAGGTCCACCTGGGTCTCTCTCAAGCACATCGAACTCTCCGTGTCTGAAAAAGAAACTCTTCCAGAGGCAGCATTGTATAGCTGTTAAGAGTATGAGTTTTGAAATCCATGCTGGATTCAAATGCCAGCCAAAAACTTCGTTAGCTATGCCATATCGAGCAAATCACTGAACTTTTCCAAACTTCAGTTTCCTCATCTTTAAAATGAGAATAATATTCGCTATCTAATAGAGGTCAATGTGAGGATTAAATAAGACGTTGAGTGTACAGCAATCAACACAATGCCTGGCATAGTAAATATGCAAAAAGAATCTTATCTGTTGTTGTTAGTCATCTTCCTCTAGTGCTTTCTTTTTTCTGTGATGGTGGCCTAAACAGTCACACAAGCTAGATATTCTGATCTGACTGCCATGCCCCTAGTGTAACCTTCTTCACCTGTATAATCCCAATAATATTATAACCAAATAAAATCAGGTCACTATCTGTTGTTTAAAAAAACACTTTTGAAAACTCCAAATTAATTCTATAACAAAGACTGAACTACTACGGTATTCAGCTCATGCTGTATCCTGAAGGTGCATTGATTCCCATGCCTCTGTGTCTTCTTGTCTATTCTACTTCTCATCCCTTTGTTAAGATCCTCCCAGACCTCACTCCTTGACTTCCCAGTGAGCAAAATCTTACTCATCTTTCACATCGTGGTTTACTGTCTCTCTCTTTTCTATTTTTCCTAAGCCTATTTCCCCTGGGTATAGTTAAATATTTCCTGCTTTGTGCTCGGAAGAACTTTATTTAGGTCTCTTTTTATGCATTTACCATCCTGAGCTATAATTATTGCTGTATTTGTTTTTCCCTGAATTATGAATTCTTTGATGGCAGGGACAATATTGTATTTATTACTGTTTAGTTAATGTTAGCTGAAAATGAAAATGATTTTTATCAAAAGAAGAATCCCTCAATAGGCATCTAACGAGGATGGCACAGACAAAGGGAGGAAGGACTCCCAGTTGTCTGAACTATAGAGACTTTTCAGAAGAATGAAAGAATGTTTGGAATGTCAGTGCTGGGTGGGCTTCAGTTCAAACTAATAATCTTTAAGGCCAAAAAGCAAAAGCCTTTCTTGCCCAGGGAGCCCGAGGGCATGAGAGGATACATGGAGAACAGGGTAGGTGCAAAGCCTTGGCTCTAAAGAAATGCAAAGTGGACATGTGGCACAGTTTGTGCCCAAGAGAGGGGGTGACCTAGGATCCCTCACCTGGAGGCATCAGCAAGAAGGCTCCGGTACTCCAGAGAGCCAGACATCCATACCGTCCAGAAATTTCAGATGAACAGACATGGTAGAGCAGGGCAATTCCCAGGATCAAAATGCGCTGCTTTAGGAAACATATTGCGGAAGAATCATGGGTTGGCATCTTCAACCCTATTACCTTTGAGGGTAAAGTGATGTTGTGAGCAGAGTCCTGGGGCAAGGAATGCAAGTCTCAGCTCTAAATAAATGCAGAAGGTAATAATAACCTCATAGTGCTGCTGCAAAATTATATGAGATAAGGCATCCCAAAAGATGTAAAAACTGCATCACAGTATACAAAGCACTTTTTTTCACATTTCCATAAAAATGAGGAATAAGATCTCTGAAAATGTGTGGTTTCTAAAATCTTTTCATTTCCCTCCAATTTGTCACCTTAATTGCCACTCCACCTCAAGCACACATTCATACACACACATACTGACTGGCAGTCCATCTATCACAATGGCAAAGACTAACACTGATATGGAGATACCAGAAATCAAAGAGAGGAGAATTCAGCTAGCCTGGGAGGGAAGTGCCTTGGAGAACAAAATGGGCAGCTATCACGGAAGGTAAAATATCTGGCTAGACCTCCAAAGACTGCAGGAGGAGAGAAACGAAGAAATGTAGAGGGAGCCAGTGAGAGAGCCCATGTCACCCTTCAGACTGTCTATCCCTGAAGCATCCCAGTCTCCCACAGTTCTGCTAGGAGGCAGGCAGAGGGACCAAAGGACGTCCAGCCTGAGCCCCTGTTGGTAATTAGAACATCTGCACGCACTCAGAGAACATTTAGAGCTCTGGAGGAAATTGGAACTAAATCACTCTATTTTGAAAATAACACATAATCAAGGAAAAATAAACAAAGATGTTTGGGTTGTTTTTTTAAAGCCCACGCTGTCCCAACCCCCAGGGAACAGCACCGTCCTTGAGCTTTTCTCTGAAAAAGTCACACTATCTTAGCAAGTCCCAGGAATGTTTCTTAAATTGTGAATGATATCTTAGCCCTTTCTTGAGAATAAGAGAGAAGGAGCCCCTGGCTATACAGAGTGGAAATCCATTTTGAGGCACTCAACCCTCCTCAATCTTCCCCCTCCTCTCCAGGGCTCTGTCCCCCAGTGCCAACTCAGCCCCCAAGACCAGCCCATCCTCACACTCTTTCTCAGAACTCTCTGAGCTCCTTCCTTTTCAGAGACCCATGGAAAAGCGGTCATAGAGGTAGGCCGGTGTCTATGAATTCTATTTCTTCAGACCCAAGAGAACAATGACATCACTCCCAGCACTGATTGCATGTCTTTAATGATAATAACAGAAATCACTGAGTGCCTACAAAATGCCGGACTGTATAAAGCTTCTCTCTCACCCAAGAACAACTGGCATAATAGGAATTTAATGTATCTTCTCTATATTGTAGGTGAAAAATTGAGGTTCCAAAGGGTTAAATAATGTTCCCAGGGTTGAACAGTAAAGCAGAAATTTAACCTAGATTGTCTAATTCCAAGGCCTGTACATTTTCCTCTCTTCTAGACTGCCTTTAATTGTGCTGCACTTTCTGAAAGCTACTAAAATCTGCCCAAGAGGCAGGGTAGCAGAAGGGCTTGGTAAGTAGGACACCTGGCCCAGGTAGACCCTTAGAAGGCAACCCAAGAGGGCAGTAAAGAGGACCCCCCTGGACTGGAACTTGGGTAATCTCCTCCTTTCAGTCCCAACTCCTCTGGCTGTGACCTGGGGAGGCCCCAAGATAGAGATTAAAAAGCTTTATTCTCTACCAAGTACCTCCTTCTTATATGATTAGAGCCTCCCCTCAGCCCGTCAAGCAGGTTTTATTAACCCCATTTGATAGATAAGGATGTTGAGAGTAAGGGCTCTCAATGCCAAATCCATGTGTTTGGCACTGAGAATATGCCAAACTACTGCCCGGCCCCTCTCCCAGTCTCCTCAAGAACAGACCAATGCAGGGGCCAGCCTAGAGGAGTAGTGATTAAGTTTGCGCACTCCACTTCGGCAGCCCGGGGTTTGCAGGTTTGGATCCCAGGCACGGATGTAGTGCCACTCGTCAGGCCAGGCTGTGGTGGCATCCCACATAAAATAGAGGAAGATTGGCACAGATGTTAGTTCAGCGACAATCTTCCTAAAGCCAAAAGAGGAGAATTGGCAACAGATATTAGCTCAGGGCCAATCTTACTCACACACACACACACACACACAAAAGAATAGACCAATACTTTATAAGGACTATTTCAGTGTTAGTCTCCAAGGAATCCAAAATTTGAGGACTCATGAGTCTAGAGAGCCTCCCTGTGAATTGGATACCTGACCAGCTCTTCCCACTTAGGTTCAGCGGGGGAGAGAAACAAGGAGAGAATGGGAAAGGAGATTCATGGTGTAAACACAGAAAATGTTCCATGCCTAGAGCAGTGGGGTGGGGGCCTCTGCAGGCACTGCCAGCCTCTGTGGGAACATCTGGAAGAGAGTGTTCTTGGATACAAGCCCAGAAATACCTGGGAGTCTCTGACTCCTACTCCCAGGACCAGAGAGGGAAGGCAGACTTCAGGGGCAATGCGGTGGCCAGCAAGGACTGTAGGAGCTCATCACTTGATTCATGGAGCGGATGCTCTTTCCTGACGCTCTATGAGGGTGGTAGCCCCAGAATCAGTTCCACTGCAAATCACCCACATCCTCTGTCCCCCATACCTTGTTTGGATTTGATGAAGCTGGGGAGCCCTTGCAGGGCCTTGGGCATTCTTTTTAGAATGGCCAAGATGGAAATGGAAAAATGAGAGGGTGCGATTTCCAACTCAAATAAAGCAGAGTGAGGCTTCCAGCTCCAACCTACTCACTCAGGTCAGCCTGGCCCTCCAAAATCAGCCCCAGCAGAGCTCTAGAGGCTCAGGTCCCTGCTCCTCCACTTCCCAAGTAGTACGAGAGCCAGTAAGAGTCCCACAGACCTGCAAAGCTTGACCTAGTTTTCAGCGCCGTTTGGAGCTACTCTAGCTGTTGCTTACATGCAGGGAAATGTGGTGCAGTGGAAAAACTGGATCTGGGACTTTGATTGATACTCCGATTTTTTTCAACAATTATTGATTGACTGACTACTGTGTTCCAGGCTCTGTGTTATGCCCTGGAGATACTGAGATGCAGGGTAAACAAGGTACTGTTCAGCCCTCCAGTGGTGGGGAGAAACTGAGACAAATATGCAGACATCACAGCATGTTGTGATAAATGCTAGGACAAGGTAAGCTCAAGGGCCTCAAGAGCAAAGCAGACAAGAGCCCCCCCAAGCTGCCAGGCTGAGGGGGCTTCCCCAAGGAGGCCAACCAGGCCAAGACCTGAGAGTCCAGTCAGAGTTAACCAAGCATGGTTGGGGGCGTGGGAACAGCAGCATTCAGTTAGACAACAAAAACATATGGAGTACCTACTTTGTGCCCAAAATTGGAGATAAAACACTGGATAAAATAGAAAAGATCGCTGCTTTCATGGAGCTCACGCACTAGGAGGACAATAACAAAAAGTAACAAATGAGCAAGAAAATTTCAGACAAAGATAAGTGCACTGAAGACAAGATAGAGTGATAGGACAGGAAAGGACAGGGCCAGGGCTCCCATATTTGAGATGGGGGTGAGTGAAAGCCTCTGAGGAGGCGACATATGAGCTGAGAACTGTGTGATGAGAAAACAGCAGACACTCTAAGATCTAGGGAACTAGTGTTCCGGGAGGAGAAGACAAGAGAAAAAGGTCTTGAGGCAAGAATGAGTTTCGGTATTCATAGAAGAGAAAGAAGGTCAATGTGGTCAGAGTATTGAGAGCACGAGAGAGTTTTAGAAGATGAGGTCAGAGAAGAGGGCAGGGGCCAGATCACGGAGTGGCTTGCAGGACATGGCAAGAAGCTTCACTTTAATTCTAAGTGACTTGGGGGAATTTAAACAACAGACTTGATCTAATTTGTTGTTGAAGGTAGATTCTGGCAAATTCAAAGTCCCAGAGAGAAAGAGAACATACCTCGTTTGGAAAGCTGCAAGTGGTTCAATGTAGATGAGGTAAAGAGTGCAAGGCAGGGGAAGCCACGGTATAGACACTAATCTACTTTTCAAATGGGCTGAAGACTGAACCCTGATCTAGAAACAGACTAAGTCAGGATCAGAGGCCCTGGAAGATTGTCAAGTCCCAATCTCAGCGGCAGCCTGACTCCTGATGCAGAGTACAGAAGGAGCCCGAATTTGCTCAGAGCCCACACCCCAAACAGAGCTATAGTCTGATCCCCAATCACAAACTGAACTTTGTCCACACTAACAACCTGAATACTGGCGCTGTTCACACACTGAGCCCTAATCCAACTCTAATCCAGTCCCAACCCGGTCTGTTCTCTGTCCCCGTTCACCTGCATTTAGACCAACTCCTGCCAGGCTCTCAGTAAACCGATCACTGGAAAACTACCCATAGACAGCATCTAACATCGCCCATGCTTCCCTTCACCACACAAGCACAGAAATTTCTAAGGCTGTCTGTTCCTTGAGCCAGGGCCCTCCTTCACATCCCCCCGCCCCACCCCTGGACTTCTGGTTCTTCACAGCCTGGTTTCTCATTCACTCAGCAGGTCTAACAGGAGAGCCCTGGCTACAAGAAGCCCACACACCTGGATGTACCCCCTGGTCTCCTACACTCACCTCAGTTGCACTGAAGGAACGTTTGCCCTTTTCTCCAGTACTCTTCCTGAGGAGGTCGGGCAGGGCAGGCTGCACTGAAGCACAGCCCTCTCTGTCTCCGCCTCCTCATTTGGGCCTCTCTGGTCAGGATTATTTATTCTCTGCCTTACCTCCTCCCTCCTCTGCTTCTCCCTGCTGGGGAGCGGGGGACTGCCCAGAAGGTCTATCAGCAGGTACCCCTCAGCAGCCAGCTGTGGGTCTGGTGTCCTTCTTGGCTTCTGTGTCCTAGGAAGGTATGCCTGGGGGAATGAGGAAGGAGGGGCAGTGAATAGAGGGGGGTCTCTAGAGTCCTCCCCAGATGGGCCTAGTGCCAGCTGGATACTTAGCCAGCTCCCAGTGTGGTTAGACAGGGGGAATGAGTGAGGAAAGTCTAGAAGAATCCCATTTGTATGGCTATGGCCTTTGGAGGAGCTTTTCTCCAAGATTCTTCCCAGGCTTACCAAACTCAGCCAGAGAAAAAGCAGAATAAGCTCTCAGGGAAGTCCCATGATTAAGAGCCAGCTCCTCGCCTTCCTGAGGCTTTCTCTGTCCTCTGCCTTCTTTCCATTGGTAGCCCCTGCTTGGGTTTTTGCTGAGCCTGGATCCCCATGGACCCTTCTGTCTTTCCCCAAAACTCTAGGGCCACTTTGTCCCCCAGGCTCTGGGGCCTGTGTCTAGCTAACTCACAGCAGGGGTCCCCAGGGACCATGCCTCTGCCTTCTACTCCCTGGCCATGGGTTTCTGAACTCCTGGCTGAGGAAGGAGTATGCAGTTTCCCTAACCCTCCCCTAATCCCAACTCCAGCCATATAAGACCACTGCCATCTGGTTTCTCCTTTAATGATAAAAATAGTGAGAGAACATTTTAGAGAGTTAGAGAACAATTTTAATGTGAAAATAAATATCTTACATATTTAAATAAGTAAAAATATATATATACCTATAAATAAATCCAAGTGCATTTAGTTGGTTTCTCTTTATTTTTTATTTTGGTCAGTTTCACAATGTAAGTTTTAAATTCACAACACAGGGCATGCTGATTTAAGCTATAAGAAATAGACAATGTCAAATCAGGCCATTCCAGCTCAGACCACATCAAAATTAACAATCAAAGAGCTCCAGGTGCCTGCAAGCATGCAGCCTGACACTAGCTGCCATCCTCCTTGAGCATCTCTGCTGCCTCCCTCAACCTCTCATAGACTTAGACTATGTGAAGACTTTTTAAAATATGCCCCAGAGACTTCTACTTCTGCCCAAGATGGTGTAACAGGAAGTAATATCCACCTGATGGAACCTAAAATGGACAATATAACTAAAGCAATGGTTTTCAAGACACTGGATATCAGACAATGAAGGACAGTGAGCCCTGAGACATGGGAAACAAATGAGGTGACCCCTGTGGTTCCCCCAGCTTACTGCCTTGAGAGAGTTTTCATGCTGCAGTACAGGAAAGGAGAATGCAGGCAGAGTCCAGTGGACATCTTAGGTTGAAGATATGGAGCTGAGAGTGCAGAAAGACCAAGCTAGCTAGAGTTTGAAGGCAGAGCACTGGATATGAGAGGTCTACACAGAGAGGGCTCCAGAGGAGTATAGGGTCCTCCTCAGGAATTCAGCTGGGTAGTAACCAGTACATGCATGTGAGCAAGTACCTAAAGATTCAAGGCAACATTGGTCAGTGCTCACATGCGGCCAAGGATAGCGACTGTTCCCACCAGCCAGACTGGCAAACCTTAAGACTCACGGGGCATTGAGCAGAGAATACAGAACGATCTTGCCTCAATAGTAAGGAATAAGTAACCAAACATTACCTACACTCTAACGTTGTCTTTAGTTCATAATTGATCATTAATAGATGGGGAAAGTACTCTGTGGACTTCATAAAATAACACAGGTCAAACTAAGGACTATAGTTTATAGAGAAAGGAACAACAGATGAGAATGGATGGCAAGTGTGAGGTGAGCAGGGAATAAGAGTGAATTTGTTTATCTAAAGTAAACCAGAACCCACGCAGCCTCTCCCTCCTTCTGAGAGGCCCCAGCCAAACAGCCATTGAGCACTTTATATGCCAGGCCCTGGAGATAAACAAAACCTAGTCCTTGTCCTCAAGGGAGACAGACAACTATCATACGGATATTTAAGTTCTGCAGTGGAGGATAAACAGAGAGTTATCATAAAACTATTTAAGTTCTATGACATAGGGATAAACATCCAGTAGCAATGTAGAGCTTTAGGTTTTATGATAGAGGGAAGCACAGAGACTGTGGGAGCTCAGAGAAAGCCCTTAATCTAGTCTGGCAATTAGCCAAGTTTTCCAACAAGCAATTACCCCAGTCACTACCAGTTATCCAAGTAAAGAGATTCTGGAGGACTCAGAGATATCCCCAGATCTCCTGAGAAAGAAGGCCACAAGTTAGTCTAAAAACAGTGACACTGCAATCTGGACAATGGACTAGCTTCTGGCCTTGGCACAGAAGGTGGTTACGAAAGGTGAAGACTGCTGTACTTTGTATATTATCCCCTATAATGGAAGAAACATATCATCTCATTTTATCAGTTTCATTACTTAAAACTATTGCCACCAGCATTTATTGGTCACTTTCTATTTTCCATGTGTTTTCAAATTTATTATGCTATTTAATCCCCACAACCACCCAACAGGAGCTACATAATATCTGTTTTGCAGTGCTTACACTTTCCAAATTTACTGAGGTTCACTAGGCTAAGTAACGTGATCAAATATCAAAGCTAGTGATCTTAACCTATATTGCATCTAATTCCAACCACACAACGTCTCTTTTCCTCATATAGATATCAACCATGTCTAAAGAAACTTCCTGGAAAGAATGCTTTTCATTTGTAAATCAGATACCAGCACAGGGAAATGAACTGCAACTTCTCTGAAGCTTTGTAAAAACAATTTATTAAGAGAGAAACAGTTGTTTTAATTACTAACAATAAGTCAAGACAACCATACATGGCCAAATTGGTGATATGCTGCACAATTCTGGGAGCACCATTCAGATAGACCATGATGCGAATGGTGTTTCCTAAAGTTGTACATGAAGACACCCATGAATAGGATCATTTCTTGCATGTCTGCAACACTTTGTAGTTTACAAAGGACATTCACAGCACTTAAGCTTTACAAGATCACTGCTATTGTACTTTCTATTATACAGAAGAGGAAATGAGATCCAGAGAGGTTATATGGTATACCAGTTTATATTTCCAGGGTTTCAACCTTATAAGTCCTACAGTAGTATTCTTTCTTCTGCCTCAAATGAATCGACACTGTTTTCTACCTATCATTCTTCAATGTGAACATTTTTGACCCCACACATTCCAAGAGCTGGAACCTGAGTGAGTGTACCTAGAGTGAGAGGCTCCTAAAGGATGCCTGAGCCTGTACAGTGTCTCATATTGGTCTCCCCCTGCATTCCCCATCCTCATTCACTGATTCCCCAAAGGGTTTAAAAGAAACTCCCTACAATCAAGGACAATGTTTAAACATGTTTGGTAGACCAGCAAGAAAGGGAAGGGAGATGGGAAGATACTGTGACCTGCTATTGAGGCAGAAGGCCAGGTATTAGGGCAGTCAATACCTCAGGGAGGGTGGAAAGAAAGATGGGAAGAACTGACAGAAGCACCTGAAACCTTGTGGTCAGGATGAAGAAGGTATGGTCTGGCCTTTGAGAAGAAGAAAAGAAGCCCTGTGCTTATCTATCACTCCCAGAGACTGAACCATAATCCCAGGCTGAGCCCAGGCCAAGAAACTCAGCCTCTTGGAGTCATGCCTCTCAAATTTGGAAACTACATCTGCTGCTTACAATCAGGACCTCTTCAATCTCCTGCCTCCACCCCTGATACACACAGACACCATTCATCAATCAGTGCTCAGAAACTACTCACTCTTATGCCACATAATCACACCTGCTACACAAAGGAAATGTGTCCTAAAATATATGCCCCAGACACATGCCCTAAAATGCCTGCATCACAAACAATGCCTGCATACACATACACACACGTACACACACACCCTTCAGACATTACAGTCCACCTACACATGACTAAAGACATATATAACACACCAAATGATTTCACATCACAAATACTATGCATAACAGACATATGCCCAAACATAAACACCACACACGGCAAAAGGTACAGACATCCCAACACTACACATTCCACACACTCATGCATATTACATATTCTACATTGTTACAAATATGAAATATTTTACATTATACACATTGCATTCTACATATTATATATTACATTCTACATATTACATTCTACATTTACATATTACAAACATGAAGAAAAAATAGAAGCAACATTGTTACCAGATACACAGAAAGATATTGTCCATCATTCTCAAGTAGATGCATATCACATACCAAGTAACAGAGATCACATAAACACAATAAATACACAATCAGAGACATTATTCATGAAATACATACATGCCAGGACACAGCTACCACACTCATCAAAACACAACTGGCATATATTCTATGCACCTACACGTACACTAAAAATTACATATAGCCAGATAAACATACCTATATACACACAGCCACAACCAGAATAAATAGTACCTTATGGAAAAACAGTCTCCAGTAGAACTATATAAACACATTAGCAGATTCCACACAAATACACTCTCATGCAGACAGAAATATAAACACTTTATCTGAGCTGTCTCCTCTCCGGCTACCACCCCCCTCCCCTTCCTCCAATTTCTATCATCCAAATACCTTCATTAAACCCTAGAAATGACTCTGTAACCACTTTTGGGGCCCAAGAAAGAAGCTTTATAGCCAACACAGATTCACCTACATGGATACATGGGAGCAAAATAATTAAAATCATACATCAAGACTGGAATGAATCGTGAAGTGTGGCATTTAGAGCCTTCTCATGCCAAAACTACATGTATTTTTCAGTTGGGAGAGAGGAACAAGGCAAGGCCACCATAGCAGAAAGACTAGGGTGATCATTCTCCAGGATGGCCTATCCAAACTGGGTAATAAATTCTTCCATACTGACACGTTCCTGAAGACAGAAATCCAAGGTCTATTTAGATAACTGGGAGCAGACAACCCAGTGAGTTGGATGTTCTAATCACCAAGACATTCAATAGGACTCTAATCCTGCCATCTTTGATAGAGATTGAGGACACTGGGGAGGTTATCCTCCTCATCTGCCATCTTGTAAGAACATATTGAGGACCCATGAACGGATCTCCTTGGTCTTGGCTCCGTAGACAAGAGGGTTAACCACAGGTGGTAGCAATAGATAGATATTAGCCATAATCACATGGAGCAAGGAGGTAGGACCACCCAGCCTGTGCACCACTGAGAGCCCGATGAGGGGCACATAGAAGACCAGCACAGCACAGAGATGGGAGATGCAAGTATTGAAAGCCTTGAGTGATGCCCCCCGAGAGGACAGCTCCAACACGGCCCTCAGGATGAGGACGTAGGAGAAGCCAATGAAGAGAGAGTCGACACCCATGACTGAAAGGATTACGAAAAGTCCATATACTACATTGACTGTGGTGTCAGTACACGATAGCTTCATAATGTCTTGGTGCAGACAGAAGGAGTGTGTGACAGTATGTGTTTGGCAGTATGACAATCGCTTCAGGATGAAGGGCAGTGGGAAAAAGAATACAAATCCCCTGGTCAAGGCAGCTAGTCCGATCTTGGCAACAGTAGGCCCTGTGAGCACAGAAGCATGCCGCAGTGGGTGGCAGATGGCCACAAAGCGGTCAAAAGCCATGGCCAGCAAGACAGCTGACTCCATGGCTGACAGAGCATGGATAAGGAACATCTGGGACAGGCAAACGTTGAACTCAATCTCCTGGATGCCAGTCAGGAAGAGGCTGGCCATCTTGGGCATGGTGACTGAGGAGAGGACTAGGTCAATGGTGGAAAGCATGGCCAGGAAGAGGTACATGGGCTCATGCAGCCGCCTTTCCACACGGATGATGAGGACAATGGCCAGGTTGCCCAGGGTGGCCAAGGCATACATAAAACACAGGGGGAAAGCCAGCCAAAAGTGTATATTAGGCCCCAGGCCAGGGATGCCCACCAGCAGGAAGTATGCTGGGTGGATCAGAGTTCCATTTGGAATGGCCATGACAGGAACCAAGAGCTGAGGCTTCTGCATCCCAAGTCCAGAGACTATGAAAAGGAAGAGGAGAAACATCATTCAGTCATGGCTCAGAGAAAGAAAGGACTTATATGGAAAGGATGCTGGAATAGTGACAGCAGCAAAGAGAAAGACTAAGTACTTCTAGTAATTCTGAACTCCAGCCTCTTTTTGCTCTAACTCTCCATATACAAACTTCCCTGGAGGTCCCATTAATCTCAGTGTGTGAAGCCCACTCAGAAAACATGTGGAACAGCCCTTCATTTCCAGAGCTGATGGTGCTGACCAGAGACTGCTCTTGGCCACTTTCACAACAGAACTGACAGGCTTGCACAGAACCTTCCACACTGATCCCAGCTCTTTTGCTGCACGTCGGGGTTAGGGTTGGTTTGGGTCCAGAGTCTGAGGCACAGTCTGTGGTTGCTGTTAAGATCCACTCTAACCTGATTCAGGGCAGGAAGCAGGGCTTCAGTCTGAGACCGGATTTCAAGGGACAGGTTTATGTTTAGGCCTGAGTAGCATTTCTCAAACTTCCCTGATAGAATCATCTGAAGCAGTTATTGAAAACACAAAGTCCCACTCCAGCTCAGAGAATCAGAATTTCCAGGGGAGGGGTCCAGAAATCTAGTCAAAGAACAGTAAGTCCCTTCTCCCCAAGTTGTTTTTTTTTAATCAAAGAGAAATTTGGGCAAAGCTATTCTGGTGTTCCAGGAGGTGAAGGGATGGAGGTGAAGAAAGACTATCATTTCCAGCCTCCCCCAAAGAAAAGACTCTTTCATCAGGATCTCTCAAGGCCCACATGAGAGCCAGTCCCAGATTGTGCTTGGCTGGGGTGTGACATAGAAATCAGATGCAGCTGAGACATGGAAAGAAAATCAGTCGTGCTGCTGCCGGTGCTACCCAGTGTCCACAGCACCTCCTTCTTCCTCCACTCTTCTCCCTGGTGGCCCCATAACACCCCAGGCTCAACTTCCTTGCTCCACACAGACCACCCTGTTCAAGCCTCTGTCCTGAGATCCAGACCCATATAACCTGCCGCCTCTTCGTATTTCTACTTGGACAGCCTATGGGCCTCACACTCATCTTGTCCAAAACAGGACCCGTCTGAATGGTACCACCCGGTCAGCCACGTCATCCAAGTCAGGGCAGTTAGTCCCACCTTGATTTCTCTGCTCTTTCACCTCCACGTGTGACTATTTTCCCAATGAATATATCATAGCCTTTCCTCTCATTTAAAACACTCTCCCTTCCTCCCAACCTCATTATACCATCCACCCTGCTCTGATTATGAAAAGAGCTTCCTAACTCACCTCCTCGCCGCCAAACCCAGATATTTCAATCCACCTTCCACACTGCTGCCATCTAAACAGCAAAACTGGACATGTCAGGCTCCTGTTTAGCAAGCGACAGGTGACTCCCATAGTGTTCAAGATAAAGCTAGAACTCCATAGTCTGCGTTCAAAGCCCCTCACAGTGTGGCTCCAACTTGACTTTCCAGCCCAGCTTCTCAGTCTCCCTCTCCCTGACCAATCACCACCACCACCACACACAAGTTTTTTTCCCCTGGGTAAATTAATTCCCCTTGCCTTGTTTTTTCAGTGAAGGGTGGGAGGCTGGAACTGGGGAGTCCTTCCTGGCACAAGGGATAGACATAGTTTGGAACCGGCCTCATAGTGGTTTGAAGAAATTCCTCTCTGGGTAGGTCACTGAACAAGGTCTGGGATCCAGGCGCTGCCATCGCGAAGCGCCCGCGCTGGCCAACGACATTTCCAAGCAATTGAGCGGCCTGGGCTTCCTCCGGCAAAGCGCCCTCCCTGCCCAGGTCTGCGCGGACTTCCCAGGGCCTGGGCAAGGCTCTCCTCCCTGTCCCTCCTCTCCCTGAATTGAGCCTGGCACACTCACCAAGAATGCCTCCGCCCCAGGCCACAGCCCATACATAGCTTCTCTGGGGGCCCTAGGGAGGCTGAGGGATGATGAAGAGTGAACCACTCCGGACTCCCTGGGAGCTCAGCTCCGCTCAGGCGCCCAAGGAATACTGAACACTGACTCCTGCCCAGAGGGGCAGCGCTCTGTTACTATTCTAAGACTAGCTCTGGAGACTAGAGGGAAGAGGGGGCAGGATGGGGGTGCCGTGGGGTGGCGAAGAGAAGACCGATGACCGGCGCTGGCAGAGAGGAGCTACGGGAATGGAAGCGTGGACACTCACTAGTAAGCACACAGACACGACTACTCGCTCCTACGCTCGGAACGCAGTATCCAAGGGGACCCAGAGCTGTGCTCGGAACCACCTCTCGCTTTTTGATGCTTCCCCCTTGTGGTCACGTCGGGGAGTTGCAGCCTTGTGGCAGCTTGGGCAATGGCTCCGAGGATGATGCCTCAAGAGCCAAGGACCTAGCTGACCTAGTATCTGAGCTCCTTCCGCTGCACTACGCTGCCCCTTAGTATTTTCTCCCTCACAAGCCAACGCTTTCTTCCTCGAGGAGCTAATCAGAGCTCTCATGTGCTCCCAGAAATGAAACCGTGTAGAGTGGTTGTTTAAATGTAGGGTTCTGTCAGGAAAGACGTGTTCAAATCTGAGCTCAACCACTTACTAATGGTATAATGATCCTTAGCCTCAGTTTAATGTGAAAAATAAAATGAGACACTAGTAATTCTCCAGATAATGTTTGTGTTCATTATTATTACTCAGAACAACTGGACGAAGCAAAGAAGTAGGAGGAAATCCAGTTGAGATTATGTTACAACAGCCAGAGGAAAAAAATATGTTGGGAAGGAAGAGTGGACAGTAATGCCAAAGGCTGCTGAGAGATCAAGCAGTTAGAAGGACTGAAAATAAAAGGTCGATGGTTAACTTGGGTAACCTGTTGAGATGGTTTGGTGGGAACAGAATCTTGAATGCAGCAGAGTGAGGAGTGAGTGGGTTGGGAAGAAATGGAGAAAGTGGATGCAGAAAACTCGTTTAAGAAGTTTGTATGTGAAGAGAAGGAGTTAAATGGGCAATACATGAATAATTGATAGCTCTAAGGAGAGTTTTTAAAAATTTGTATTTTGGAGCTAGAAGAGATTGAACACAAGTAAATGTCAACAGAATGGAAATGGTAGAGAGGCTCCCTGTCCTTTACTTCTCACATTTCTGGTGGAGTTCTTCAAGGCTATGACCCAGGTAGACCCTCTATCCTTCCCCCTCTATACAGCAACTATGAGCAATCTTACCTGCTCCCATAGCTTCCATCACCCAAACAGGCCAGATCAATCCTGAACTCCATACATGATAATGTCTATAGGACATCACCATTTAGGTGTCCCTCAGGCTCAAACTCAATGCATCCAACTAAACTCATTCTTGTTGATCCCCATTCCATGCCCCCAATCTATGTTTCTGTTCCTTGTCACACAAATGACTCTGTCACCCAAACCTTCTCCCTCTTTCTCTCACCTCCCTCTCCAACCACATCCAATCAGTTACAAGTCGCCTTTATTTTACTCCTGGATATCTCGTGAACCAGATTATTTTTCTCCATCTCCTTTGCCTTTACTCCAGTCCAAACCAAGATAATCTCTTGACTAGATCATCAGAATAACTTGTTCACTGGTCAGCCTCATGAAGATCTTTCCTACCAACTCCACACTGTGGCCAGTGTGATCTTCCAAACACAAATCAGTCCGTAGCATTTTCCCATCGACTTTAGAATGAAAGGTTGAAGTTCACACTCCCTAACCCAGCTCATAAGCCTCCATGAGGCATCTCAGTGCACCTCTCCATCCCCATTTACAACCATCCTACCTCCCTTTTTTGCATGCCCCGAGGCTCCTAAATTATCTCACTGCTTCAACGTGCCATACTTTCTCTCACCCTTCAGGTTTCACATATGTTTTTCTCCATGATAAGAATACTCACCCTATTCCCTGTACCTATTAATTCTTACCATCAGCTGTCTGTTTAAACATCTTTCCTTAGGAAAATCTTTCCTGACCCCTAATCTTGGTGGAATGACTTTAATCTTTTCCCTTTGTTTCACTTAAAGAATTTAACATTATGAAGTTAATTATTTTTCCTACTTCTGAGCAGACCTTATCCTCCTATTTTTATAGGGGGGATGGACACTGAAGTTCATATTTAAAAGGGAAGATTTAGAGTCCTTTTTCATTCCCTCTTAATGCAGAAATTATTGGTCCTCTTGTGGATGTTCACTCATAACTCACAATTCTACTATTTCAATTGAAGCATGTTTAATGCGCAGGTCCCCTTAAACTTTTGGTAGCAACATCAAGCGCCAAGCTGGTACAATTTTTGAACATAGATTTTTACCAGGAACTTTTCAATCATTTTTTTCACTTCTGACAGTAATAGTGTCAGTAATAGATACAAGATACAATAATAGATACAAGAATAGTATCTCACTGAATTGAATAAGGTGGATTATGGTATGACTTTTAAATAATATCATATCCTTATATTTTTGTTTCAATATTTTTCACAAGAAAGAAGGAAAACAATAATTCAACATAAACAGTGTTAAAGGGTCCAACCAATAATGGAGAACTCTGGCCAAGGATATACTCAAATTCTTGGCTTAGGAGGCCCTGAATGATATGAACTTGCTGATAATAATACCCCAGCTCTGTCTCATGACACCCCAACTGTAACTCAGTATGGTCCTACACTGGCATTCTTTCAGTTCCTCAAATGAAAGTTCTCTTTCCTCACACCCACTTTAAGCATTTGCTCAAACTCTAGCTTTCTCTGGAATAGTCAATCTCTTTGTTTCCCTCCTCTACATACTAACGATTTTTAGATTCCATTTTAGGTGCTTCTTCTACAAGGAAATCTTTCCTGTAAGAAAATGTTCTCTTGTTTCCAAGGGTATCCAAATTCCATTTGCAGATGAGTAATGCCATTGTTTTTGCCAGGAAGTACTAATGGATGCATATATACAAAGCCACAAATACCCTGCATGAAAAGAGAGCATAGTTTTACCTGAAAATAGAAATGATTCCTTGTATTAATAACCTGTAATAAGGTGAGAAAAAGAAACATATGGTATAAGAGTTAGAAAAAATAAATATATAATCATTATTTGTGGATTAGTGATTGTATATGTAGAAAAATATAAAAGAATCTATTGATAAATAATTAGAATTAATAAGTAAGTATATA